TTTTTTTTTTTTTTTGTGCTTATCTTCACCAAAAGGAATTAATAGTTAATCTTCCTGGAATGATACACTCATTCCAGGCTGGGAGTATGACTACATGACCCTTCAAAAATCCCTTAATCCCCATGATTTTATGGCTCATGATTTTCAGTAAATATTTTACTCCCAAAATTTAAAAATTATCTATTGTCACATGAACTATATACAAGATTATGGTCTTTGATTTATAAAACTTGCATCTTGGAGGTTATTTTTTTCATGTTTATCAACTAACATAGCCATACTCCAAGCAGAGCTTGTAAGAATTTAAAAAGCAAAAACAGTTCTAAATTTAGAGTAAGTAAATATCAGAATGATTTTTTAATAGAATTTGGAGACATAAAACAGAGGAACAAAAGACGTAGAATATATTCATATTTTCTCCCTGTCATCTAATGTTAATGACAAACTTTTATTTCTGATTATAACAATATCTGATTTTCAGAGAGAGCTCCATAATTTCTTGCCAGCCAAACAGAGGCTATTGAGAAGTTTTAGCCCAGGAATTGAATGCTTTTAAGATTAGAATGTATTACTGCATTGGGGTGCCTGGGTGACTCAGTCAGTTAAGTGTCTGATTCTTGATTTCAGCTCAGGTCATGATCTCATGGTTCATGGGATCGAACCCTATTGTGATTCTGTACTGACAGTGCAGAGCCTGCTTGGGATTCTCTCTCTCCTCTCTCTGACCCCTCCTCTGCTCCTGTTCTCTCTCTCTCTCTCCCTCTCTCTCTCTCTCAAAATAAATAAACATTTTAAAAAAAGGAATGTATTACTGAGTCATTAATTTTTTTAAATACCTGAGTAAAGTGATTTGATTGCAGAAAATAGACTATATTATTAGCTATAAAAATGATACTTTCTTGATAATTAATCTAGTTCCTCATCTTCCCCAATAACTGCCTTTGTGCAATTCCATATATCCTGCTAGAATTGAAAGGTGGGAGATAAGCACTACTTACACACACAACTCAGTCCATCGCCCTGGTATCCATCTTTACATTTACACTTGTAGGACCCGTGCAAGTTGTAACATCGAGCGAAGCGGCTGCACTGATACTGACCAAGGGAACATTCATCTATATCTGCATCAGGAAGTGGGAAAAGAAGGGAGTTTATCCGGGAGAGGAGTATGATGGCAGCAAAACTATATAGAATCTCCAAAAAAATTTTTTTGAAAGGTCCGTGTAAAATCAGCAGATACACGGGAGAAATAAAGCACATGTACATCCAGGACTACCAGTGGTTGAACTGGACTTCTGCTTAATGTAAGGCCGGTACCCTCCCCTGTGTCTAACATCCCAATCACCAGCCCAGTTAAAAAAGCTTCCCGCACCACAGGAAGAAACAAAACAAAATGACGGTCAGGGCTCATTACCGTGACATTGGTATTTGCCTGCAATGTACATGAGGTCGAAGCCTTTATGACACTTGCAGATGTAGCTCCCAAAAGTGTTGACACACTGCCTAAATCTAGGGCAGGACACTCTCCCGGTGGCACATTCATCAACATCTAGAAACATAAATCAATTGCGTCTCAGAGGAGCAGCATCGCCATGTTCAGATGCGATCGATTTTAAAATAAATGTCCGCACACAGCTGTCTGGAACAGAGTGGCTCATCATAAATGTTATCCAGCTGGTTGCCCTGACAGGCACCATAAATTCCACACCTCCAAATTTCCATGCATCCTCCTAACCAAAGCTGTCCTGCTCTCGCACCATAGCTCAGCAGAGATTGCACCTGTATCCACTAGTTGCTCCAACTGGAAACAGGAAGCATCCTTGACAACCCTATTTCCCATAACCTCAAATCATCAGACCCAGTTAATTCTACCTCTGAAAAGTGATCGGAACTCATCTAGTCTTCTCTTCACCCACTACCTCTACCCTAGTCCAAGCTGCAATCTTCTTGGTCAGACTGTTGCAAGAGCCTCGGAACCAGTGTTTTCCCTGCCAATCTTACCCCCTCCAGAGCACTCCCTCTCAACTGTCAAAATCTTTTATTAAAACATAAAATTGGGGTATTACCATGCTTAAGACTCCTCAACTGTTTCCACTTGCTTCTTAAGTTAAATCCATTCCTCACAATGTCTGTGATCACCCTGCAATAACTATGTAGTCCTTATGTACCTCACCAGCTGTAACGCAAGCCACTGCCCCTCACGCTCACTCTGTACTGAAGCCACATTGGCCTTCTTTCTTTCTAAACCTCACACGGGCCAGCCTCTCTTCTTCCAGTGCAGTGCCCTGCACCATTTCTACCATTATTTTCTAAAATAGACCTTTTATGGTTTTCTCTTAATACCTCATATTAACATTTAGTATTGTTTGTAATTTTGTTGGATATTTGTTTCTTTTCTGTCTTCCCATTAGATTATCCGCTTTGTGAGGACCAAAATCTTGTCTGCCGTGTCCCCTACTATATATCCTAACACTTGGCACAGCACCTGAAATATAGAAAGTACTAAATAAATCTCTCTGGAATCACTCAATACCTCTATTCATTGAGAGCGTATTACATGCTAGGTACTCTGCTCAGCTCTTCGCATATATAATCCCATTCAATCCTTATAATGGTTCTACATGGCATTACTCCCATTTTAAAGATGAGGAGATTCAAGCTCGAAGAAAGGAAGTCTCTTGCCTAAGGCTACATATCAAGCACACAGCAGAGCTAGGTTTGAAATCAAAGCCCAGACAGTTAACCACAATCCTATGCTGTTTTCCTAATTTACAAGAAAAAAATCTAACTCTTTAGCACAGCATATATAACCTATCCCTGCCTACCTATTCAGCTTTATCACTCATTCCTTCTTAACATTCTAGAAACACTGAGCTCCTTTGCCTTTCCTGAATATTGTGCTCTCTTAAACTTCAAAGTCTTTGCACATGTGGTTTCCTCTGCCCAAAGCTTCCCGCCGTCCCTCATTTTTAGGGAAATAAGGTGTCCATTCTCCATTCATAGAGAGAGGTCCTCTCCTGAGACACGTGCTATCTTCTGAAGGATAGCTAATTGCCTGATGTAGGTAACTGCCTCATTTCCTTACTCCATCACCTTTCCCTTTGTCCTTTTATCCTAGAGAGGCTGCTGACAGAGACGCTTGATTTTACAACTCACCCATACAGGTCCTCCCATCAGGAGCCAGCTGTAGGCCAGGAGAGGGGCACTGGCACCGTATCTGTCCTTTGACAACATCACAGCCATACTGACAGTTTGCCATGGAGCACGTCAGGGCACCTGGAAAGAGTGTGACTGGCTGACTCAGAGAGGCAGAGGACAAATTATATGACTTTTTTTAACTTGACATTGAATCAACAATGAAGACAAAAAAGCCTCAATTATCCAACAGTCTAAAGACAGTAGAAAACAGAGGGACGGAAAGACCTTACTTCCCCAGGGATCAAGAAGATTAAGAAGTGAACCGGCTCTGTTATCATCTGAGGAAGACCTTTAATGCATTTCAAAAATTAAAAGACAAAAGATGCTCAACATCGCTCATCAGGAAAATACAAATCAAAACCACACTCAGATATCACCTCACACCAGTCAGAGTGGCCAAAATGAACAAATCAGGAGACTATAGATGCTGGAGAGGATGTGGAGAAATGGGAACCCTCTTGCACTGTTGGTGGGAATGCAAACTGGTGCAGCCACTCTGGAAAACAGTGTGGAGGTTCCTCAGAAAATTAAAAATAGACCTACCCTATGACCCAGCAGTAGCACTGCTAGGGATTTACCCAAGGAATACAGGAGTACTGATGCATAGGGGCACTTG